GCACGAAAATGTTCACGATTCAATTCCATTTTTTGAAAGAGAAGAACTTTTCAATTTACTGTCAACAACACAAATGAAGCTATAATGGTAAATCGTCTGCTGAATTTATGTTTAAAAATATCAAACTTTCGATTAAAATCATCTGCGATCGCCTAGCAACACTTACTGTTGCCAAGGCCAGAAATATAAATAGTAACCCTCGTATTGCAGACAGAAACTCACAATTGGGTGTTTAGTATAGTTTATGAAGTTTGAAAATCTTCATCTTGACTGTGAATAGACGGTCATCTTGAATAGACGGTCAAGCAAATTTCTTGCACTAGAAAAACTGATACCTAATAATTTATGATTTTGGAATACAACATCAAACACTGGTGTCATTTTCAGCGTAAAAGGTAAAATCTTACAAACACTGATCCCTTCCAAACAATAATTTTTTTTTCCAATTTTAAGTTATTTAGATCTAAGAGTATTTAATTCCTTCAGTGAGTCAGACTGAGATGCTATGAATAAGCATGTGAAAATCATAAAAACATTATGCCTCCAACATTTTGTGAGTTGTATTGAAATGTAATTCTATCTGATTTTATAAGAATATCATGAGTAATTAAATTGAAATTAAATCATAATATGATTATTTTTTTTAAATCGATAAACACTCACCAAAAATAACGAAATATTAAAATCGTTCAATCAAATGATGTACTTATAATCTCACTCCCAAATAGAGCGGGGTCTTATCAATACATAAAAGCATTAACATTTAGACATTCTTATTGCCAGTATGATGGCGATATTTTATTGAAAATTAAAATAACCTTCGTCTTATTCATAGAAACTACCTACCTCGATAAAAATGACCACTTGCCCTCATTGGTTATAACATGGAAGGTAATAATTACATTAACGTGTACACGACTATAAAATTGTCAAGTTTGATGCCGAAATCATTTGCCTTAAAGAAGTTTTCAAGCGATAAAAACCTTTTCCGATATAAAAATAAGCACGAAATATGTTAGGAAAAATATTATGTAAATTAATGTATAATGTGTTCATTAATATTTATGTATAAAGTGTATGTTAGAAAAAATATTGCGCATCGTAATTGAAACTGAGACTGTATTAAATGTCTGGGCACCTGAGGCCGCTTGCGTCTCTTTTCCCATTCATCTTGAGTTTCATCTTCGGGAGTTTCGTTGAGGTTGTGGAATGCAAATGAAGTAAAGCAGTATTCATGTGGATGATTGAGGTTCTGACAGTGTAATTATATGCAGTAGGGGGAGCACATCATTATTACAAAAGTGATAATACTTATGATAGTTTACAAAGATTTTAGAAAGCGGCAGTAATCTAATAAAGCAAGAAGAGCCACTCTGATTGGGTGTTGAAACTGAAAACGAAGCAAACCAATAATTTAACATATGCATACCTGCCAACCAAGTACTTAATTTAGTAATTTATTTTGTTGGGTAAAAGAAATTTATAAACATTACAATTTTTAATTTGGTTATTAAAAAGTAGAAAATTTTACCAATAAGACAATTTCTCAGTTTAGTACTTGAAAATATTTTAGCTATGTAAATAATTTTGACAAAACTAATCCCTATTCATACCATAGGGCTTGAATGCCCTATGGTATGTATAGGGATTAATTATGTATAGGGATTAATATAATAGGATAGGCTTGCCACTATGTCTCAGAAAACAAAGTGCTAGCCTCTCAATGATGTGACTCAGAATCGAATCCTAACGATGGCTGGTTGATATGAGTTTTGCCATTGGCTTGGCTCGCACCCACCACAATGCTTATCTGAAATATCCTCAGTGGTAAACGAATAATGGGTTAGAATCTCCCTGCCATTGGACTAACCCAGGAGGTTTCCGTGGTTTTCCTCCCCATGTAACACGAATACTGGTTAATTTCATCAAAATGTCCTCCACGAAGTATAGTTTGTCCTAATACTTAATCGAGGAGTTACCTTATCTCCTGGATTTGGTTTAAAATTACAAGTTTACGGTGTTTAATATTGATAGTAGATTATTGATAGGTGTTTATGGATTAATACTGAAACTCAAAATTGGGTTGGCTTAATCTAAGGAATGATTTTTGATGCTTACGAGAAAACAACATTAAAATTTTTTATTCGAAAAGCATAACATTTATTAATAATTTATTAAAATAAACTAGTTAAATTACTTTTAATTATACTAATGACATTATTTCACTTACTGCATCTCTTACATCCTTTTGAATAGAATTGTAGTTTATAATTTCTGTTTCATCAGAATTCTGAGAAAACTCTGTTGATGGGGGGACAGTGTAAAATTGCTTCGATATAGGCAAATATCCTAGGTAAGATGCTTGAGCTAAAAAAGAAAATTAAGAGGAATCAAATTCATAATTATTATGAAATTTTTAATTTCATATCATTAAACAGTTGATAACACAAATTAGAAAGCCAAATGTCAAAAAGACATTAAATAAAAAAAAGTAGTATGCTTGCGCTGAATAAGAAAATTTAAGGAACTCATATTTAATAATTTTTATGATATTTAAATTTTATACTATTAAACATTCGACAAAAGAAATTAAAACGCTAAATGATAAAAATATATTAACCCGTGAAAAAGAAATCTAAAAAGAAAATATTTCATGAATGTCTAGATGAATGCAATCGTTATCAGCTTGAAATATACAAATTTATTTCAGAAACCCATTTCAGAATAAGCATGGAAGTTTTAAAAAAAGTAGGATTATGCTTAAATTTCAATAAGATATAAAAAAAATTTCATGCATTAAAAAATATTTTTATTAAATGGTGTATAAATGGTAATAAAATGCATAATGGAAATGGTGCATAATGATAATGATGCATAATAGTAATGATGCACAATGCAAATGGTACATACTAAAGACAATTTTATTTGCAAAAGTTGCGCCTTTAGTCCATAATAAAAACATATAGTAAAACTCAATTGAATAATTATGTGGCATTTACAAAAAGTCGAAAATCTCAATAATTCTTTGAAATTTGAACATTTCTCAACGAAAAGTGTTTACTCTAATTGAATTAATAATGTTTTATTAATGACCTCAAAACCCTTATAATTAGCAAATAGCAAAATAAATTCAGTGAAAAATATGCATCACTGAGTCTATAAAACAATATGCATTAAATGGTACGTTTACGCACCATGGGCCGAAAATGGGTAAACGTGATCTCAAATTAAACTATAAGCTGACTCGTTTTGTTGCTAATATTTAATACTTTTGTACTATTGATACTTTTTGCATAAAATAAGCATAGCCAAAAAGTAATTTTTATTTCAAATTAGGTAATGGTAAATAAATAAAATATTTCGTCCCACCTTCTAATATAAATATATTTTATTTTGTTTCATAGCCATCGTTGAACAGCAGATCTCATTTTGGATTTACGACTATTAATCTTCAACTCCGTAGCCAATACAGAAGACAATCGAACTTCTTGATCAAGTTAAATTAAATTCGCCTTCGTGAATGGTTTTTTGATGGAACAACCCCAAATTTTCGTTACACTTAGAGGCAAACCACGAAATCGTCCCACGGTTAGCCTATCGGCAAGAGGACTCTAACCCATGATCCGTCAACCACCAAAGATATTTTATGTCAGCACTGTTGTCGTTGCGAGCTCTATGCGGAATTCGTATCGACCAGTCAACACTGGATTCGCACCCGGTTCACCTCATTGGAAGGCGAATGCTCGCTATCCCGTGAGCCTCCACTGCTCTAATAAATACACAATAAAGAATTTCAAATCTTCAGAACATTACCCCAAATAGAACTACTCAGAAAATGTCACTAACCAGGTTCAACTATTATGCTCTTAAATTGCTCTACTAATTGAAAATTCCAGAGAAAAACGAAAAATAGATTTTTTTTGTCTTACCGATTTCAGAGCATCTACCATCTCGTCCAAAACTTAGCATAGGTGGACATTGACATTCGCCCAATTCACATGTAGCCGTACGCAGTATACAATTCTTCCTGAATGATTCAACATTACATTTATCTAAAATGAAACAAAATAGAAGATATTTGAATGTGGCTATTGGACATAATTAAAAAAAAAACTTTTTCTATTGATTCTCATAATCCAATTGAGTATAATTTCCATTAAGTAACCTTTTTCATGTGTTCTCTCAGAGCTAATCAAAAACATTTTTTTAATCAAACAGATGTTACGATGTAAGAAAGTGTGAAAATTCGGGCAATCCATATTTTCCTAATCAGTTAATAATTTTACATTGTAACTGTTTTTTTTTTGCGTTTTCACTATAACAAAAAGAATCTTCACACAAGAATGTCGTGGCGTGGAAAATTATTATTAACCTAATCTTAAGTCAAAGATTAATTAGTACAGTCGAACTCGTTTATAACGAGCACAAAGGGACCGTAACATTGTACTCGTTAAATCCGAGTGCTCGTAATAAACGGATCCTTAAGGCAGGCGTGCAACCAGAAGAGGGAGGGGGGCTTGGGAGGTCAAATGATTGAGTTTACTTAAAATTTAATTGATATTTACTTACTTTAATTACATTAATTAATTTAATTAAATACTTTTCTTAATTTAATGACAACTAACCTCCCCAACCTGCAAAAGATTAGAGCGATAAGGGCAATTAAATTTCAGTTCGCGGTTTTTTTTTTTTTGATTTCACGCATTTCTCATCATTTTGAAAAAAAGATAAGACAGAAAGACTAGAAAGATGAGAAAAAAGATTGTCAGACAGAAAAATATTGCTCGCTAAAACCGGGTCTTGCTCGTTAAAAGCGACTTCTGTTCCATAGACTTAACATTGATCCAACCAAATATTCTCGTTTCCCTCGGTAAATCCGAGTTCTCGTTAAATCCGAGCTCGTTATAAACGAGTTCGACTGTAT